GGCCTGCAGAACCGTGTACCAATCTAGACTCATAAAACTGGCCAAGTGTCCGGTAATAACGTGCGAACGCGCTATCCATCAGCCGGGACAAAACAGTTAAGCGGTTGTACGCTTGCTCTGTACGCGGGCCGACGCCGTAATGAACGCGCGGTCCGGTGAAATGTCGGCGAAAAACCCCCTGGAACACGCGCTAAATCTTCTTCCGCTCGTTGCGCCACGAAGATGCAACTCTACCGCAACGTGGACCGTTGTTCTATTCGTGTAGAAATTCTTCGGTCTTTAGGCGTGGATGGAATCGTGTTTGATACAAGAAGAATCTTAGAAGCGAGAGTAATTTCATCGTTTCTTACGATTATCCGGAGATCTTCAACTCCGATTCTGGAATGTAGATGTGGCCGATTGATTTTAGGTTCGATTAGATTTCCAGATTTTCCTGCCTCGATGAAAGTTTATCTTTGAGCGTACGCGGAATATTTGAAGAACGAATAAGTATAGTACGTATCACGAAGGTTTTAGAAAGCAGGAATTTAGAAAATCCGTTACGAAATAAAATGAAAAGAACGGTAATTGCGGTCGCATCTGCGCCGCAATTAAGCGCGGTCACCTTTCGTGGTGGCGTCGCTGTGAGATTCTTCGCTGGTTACCGCGCCGCGAGAAAGCGAGGTATCGTTCGGTAATCGGGCGCTGAGATCGCCACCTGCTGATCTCGCATCATCGACCTAGCCTAATTCGAGCAACCGGCAGTTCACTGCCGGTTATCGAACGCGTAGATCGCTCGAATTAAAGTTTCTCGCGTGTGGTCCTGGTCTATTAGCCGCGAAGGTAGCGACTAATTAAGTTCCTCCAACTAGGTTCGACTAGATGGGTTCGTACGGACCAGAACCAGCGACGATGTCTCTTTGAAAAAGAACTTTCAATTGTCTTTCTTCTTCTTTGTCGTACACGTGCGCGTGTTTACGCGTTAATCGACCTGATGCGTCGTACGAGTGTCTATCCAAGTCATGAAAGAGAACTTTAAGTTTCTTGTGGTTTCTTCTTCCGTAGTCAATCTCTATGCTTAATCTATACAGCATCTTCGATGATTTATTCCTGATTGCAAAGTTCAAGGAAATGCGATTTGAAGGATGAAGCGCTTAATTTAATTTACCTTATTGAAAGTTCAATATCCAAACCGAGAAATAAAGTTGCAAGAACGCGAAGAACCGTTCGCTTCGCAACCTCAATTTCATTTACAAATACGCCTGGAAATATATAGCGATTCTCTAGGAGTACTCGGTAAATTAACCGAACGGTTTTTCACTCGGCAGCAATTTACTTCAATACGCGTATATTCGCGTGCAGCGTACAGTGTGCAGCCTAACGCCTAACCTAACCTCGAGCTGCCTCCGTTTACGTAGAACATAAATTTACCTTAATGATATCGCACGTAATGCCAGGGTGACGCTATCTCGCAGGTTGATACACGTAAGAACAAGGCTGACACCTCGATCCACCGTTTCGTACGGCACTTCGTGAGAGGAATTGCGGCGCGAAAGATCGTATCGTCGAGATTTTCTGCGGCCCTACCCTGCTTAGCTTCGCGTCGTCGTTTAAGGGAACTCGCGTAGCGATGACCCGTCCACCTCGCGAGACCTCGTTTGCACCGTTCAACCACGAAATTTTCAACCTTTTCACTCCTCGCCAGCTCGTGTTTCTGCTCGTTTAAGACAGCCAGAAATGATTCCAGCCGCGATTTGTCTTCAGATAGCTTGGAGATCCGCCGGCCATTCGCGTCGCCCGCGCTTCCTTCAACTTTTTCTCCATTTACTTTACCGGCCATTCTGTACGCTTGCTTCACACTCCACGTTGCAGATGGTATCTCGACTTTCGCCACTTTGTACGACTCTTCGACGCTTTCACGAAACCCTTTCACGATCCTCGACCTTTTTTATTCGGCGCATCCTGGTCTGCTTTCGATCGCAAATTAACTTGCTGATAGCAGTTATCCACTCTGTAGTTAATAATCGAGTAATTAATAGTTTATACAGATTCTTTGCTTCGATGAAGCGAATTTTTTAATTTTAACATAAGCTTCGCGAAATTGTGTCGTCGTTATCTGTATTAGAGAAACATCGAAATAAATGGGGCATTCTCGAATAAATAAATCACGGAAACACTACGTTACAAATTGTTACATTCGCGATATTAAGAATTCAAGCGAAGAATTAACGAATTAATTCTATATGAGAATGGAGAGCCGATTGAGAATTTGCTAAAAATATGAAAGAGCTTTCAGAGGAGTGTACGCAGAAAGCACGAGTTGCTGGCAGGTGTAAGGTCTAAGGAAGCCAAAAGAGTTGGTGGCCGAGCACGCTGCTTCCCGGAGACGCTGTTCCTGCGAACTAATTGTGAGATCGGTGGCGTGGAAGGGCCTGGGATACGGCGGGACACGAAACGATAACGGGGCTTTCAGCGTGGAACTCGTAAATTTGTCAGTGGCGGGTTGTATCGTGGATTTTTAGGCCGCTTCCCTCCTGCAAATTATCCCCCCTTTCAATTTGTTCGGTTCCCCTTATCGACGCGGAGGCGAGGAGTCGCGCTCGTTAAATAGTAGATAAGGTGTAACGCTCGAACGAAGGAAGGAAAGGTTCTTCCTTTCTTTCTCTCGACGTTATCTTATCACGAACCAGTGCTCGACCCCTTGGCTTGTGCGTCGAAGAGGCACGGCGCAGGTTCCGTCGTGCTAAACCAAAGAGAAGTTCGTTCCGCTCAGGGTGGCATCAGTCGAAACGATCTGCCAGAAGGTTCCTAGGTGAAAAACCCGTGACAAACGATTTCGTGCCGGAGCAACGTTCTACCGAGTGTGTAATAAACGATGTTATGATATTTGTGGTGTCATCAAAGAAAGAATAATTTCATCTTCGAAAATTCACGTCAGAGTATCAGTACTATGATACCGTAGATAATACGAAATATCGACGGTTTAAAAGTTTTAATGCACGGCGAATTCTTTGTGCAATCAGAAAATGTTTTTCAATGTCGTTTTGTTCTATGTACAAATCGTATCTCTTAAGAACTACCATCAACGGATATAACGTTATTGCTGTCATAGGCGAAATTTCACCCAGTGTATGTTTTTCACTCTAATTGTGCGTTACGATACAGTTATCGATAAAAAGCAGATAAGTGGTTAGAAATGACACGAATAATATTAGAAAAATTCGAGTGAGTTGGAATTTCACTACTAATGGTCTTTACCGATGAACGCTTGTTCCATCGTTTAAAAGTAGAACTATAACCGAAATTCTTTAACTCCTTCAAAGATCATAGCTTCTTCTCGTAATTTGAAATAGGCAATTTCAAATCTGATCTGGCTTTCTCAAAGATCTCAAAGAATCTGCTATAACGACACCTGTTGATGAAAATCCACAGACTCACGCTTTTCAAGCTTGTAATCTCAGGATGCCAATGTATCGACCTCCCATAGGTTCGATCCGTTCATTAAGAGAATAGAATAGGTCAGTGCGATCTGCTGTTGTTCTTGTAGCTCTTACGAAATAATAAGCTACGTTATGGCACACACAGGGAGCGATTATAATGCGCGGGCGCTTACTCGTTATCGCGCACAATGGGTCGCATGCTGAGCCCCGAAACTACCGGCTGCCAGGGCCGATTTAAAGCAATCGCGACCTCGTTCGTTCTACGTTATCCGTGGACACGAAATAAGAGAACGAAAATGAGCGAGAAAATGAGTCAGCGAACTACTGTCCGTTTTATGAACCGTTGTTTCCTGGACACAGGTAATCATCTCGTGAAACTTGAGGACGATCTCATTTCTCAGCTTCCTTGCTTGTTTGCGATTTCAATCGCTACAGTTGAGATTTATCTCTTTCGTGGAAATTTTATATTCAAAACTTTATTGTCCCTATTTATTTACATTAATCGAGTCTCTCAGAAATCGAATCGAGCAACTCCACTTTTTTTTCTTTTTATTCCTTAATTTCGTAAGCAAACGACTAATGTTCAATTCTCGATAAGTTCATTTATCGCAAGAAGACGAGCAATAGTAAATTCTAACGTAAACTTAAAAAAATAGTGTTTGTATTACATTTTTACTTTTCTATACTTGGCTTTTGAACGGTTCAATTGATCCTAATAATTTCGTATTTTCTTAACCTCAACTTTTTCTATGGCATGTTACTGTGCCTGCCTGATCGCTTTCAAAGAGTAGCATATTTGAAACACAAAATAGCGGAGAAACGCAAAAGTAGGTTCTGTCGTGTCGATAAACAAATCGACAGAGATCGAGATAACCTTGCGTAGATCCTCCGATACGAATCTTTTTCATCTAGCTACCGAAGATGGACCTCCGAAGAAGTTTCGGGAAAGCGAACGGTGTACTCCGCGGACGTGGAGGGAAAACTCTTTCGTACAATACCGATACTCACCGTTAGAAGCACATTAATATCGTCCGATGAATTGACCGGTAGTGTCACGTCGACCTCCGAGAGAGTCCTGCTGGAGAATAGGGAGCAGTTAGATCGCGGTATTGTGACGCGTACGCGAGTCCCCGCGGGACGTCCGTGCGGTACCAGGAATCGGCAGGCTCTTTCTCAGTGGGGACCGGTAAATACCACTAATCACTTCTCGATCCTTTCTAACCCACCTTGACCCCACCGCTGGAAGAGTTATGGCCGTTGGTTTTATTCAGGCTACCTCGGCCAAGGCCCCGACCTCCGTTCTCGCCTGGAACCCCAGCCGGGGTTCGCCAGACGTCGTGAAAAGTTGTATGTTGAAGAGTCGAGGAGAGAAACCGTCGACGATGCGATTCGTTTGCGATTCTTGCGAATTAAAATTCAGAACAGCCGTATATTCGAGTTAAAATAGAATTCTATTTAGGAGAACCGTATTTATCGGAATTTTATTCAAATGAAACTTTAGCTAGTGATTAGTTAGTGTTTCCCTTGAATGGGAAACAAGTGTATAAGTTTGAAGCTTTAATGATTTCGACGTAAGAATACTCAGAGGATCCAGGAAGGATTTTGTGGTATTTTCACTAACAAAGCTGTAAAAGATTACCCATGTTATCAGTATACAATCCTCGTATCTGAACGTAAACTTGCGTTGTATAATCTTTTATTATCCAATTGTCATGTACTTATTGTTCATCCCTATCAAGTTCGGATAAACGAAGTTTTCATTGTCTAAAGATAGAGCAATAAAACTACATCTATTGATACATAGTGTCCATTTATTCGTTCGAACGTTACACGACGAAACTGAATCAAAGTACACTTATTACTTGATAGAATGATTGACACGAGCAATAGATCTAGTAATGCGATCAGTGAGCTACACAATTTAGACAGAGGTGATGAACGACAGGTGACGCTCCGAGACGCGAGCGGTTTCATTCGGCGTCGATCATCACGGGGATGTCGATCGACAAGCCGAGTGTTGTCTGACAACGCGCCGAGAGATTGTCACCGTTAACGATGCACACACGCACGTAGTGTATGAACCGACTTTCCTGATCGATTAATCTTGATCATGGATCGGTCGTCGATCGGTTATGGCGCCATCTCGATCGCTGTTTGCCGATGATCGACTACGACTCAGACTATGATCACGACTTCTGCTCTGCCTGCTTCGGTTCTCCTCGTTGCTCTCCTTCTCGCACATGCACACGTTATCTGGCTCTTGTGGCTCCACTGGATTGTTCCTCAGAACGTCCACGTTCCTGGTTCTCTTGGTACACCTGCATCTGGTGCAACCAATTCGCCTGGCTCTCATAGTGGCGCCACGTCTTCTTCGTCTTGAGCGACGACGACTACGACGACTTCTACGTCTGCCTCTGCTACGTCGACGTCCTCGGCGTCTACTACGTCGTCTGCTGCTTCGTCGTCGTCTGCTTCTTCGTCTTCCGTACCTTTCGGTTGGCGTCAGGTTCGACGTGAGCTGCGGCTCGACTTCCGTGTTCAAGAAGTAGTGGCCCTGCGTCTTCTTCAGGATACCGCAATCCAACCCACGTTTTAACGCTGCTTGCATCTGGCAAATGATTTCATCTTGTTAGCAACATATACATCATTTACAATAAAGTGATAGAGTCTGGTTTTGTTTAGTAGTTTCAGATTGCTGGAGACATTGCCTGTCAAGGGAGATTACCGTATGGATTATGATAAAATTTTCATTATTATTGGTCTGCGGAGAATCGAATTGAGTAAACATGAGCAAAGTGCATGTGCATGATATGCGGAAAGATACGGAAGTACTCATTACCATAGATATGACCTTTAACATTCATAAAAATACCAATTTGCATAAACACCTGCAGTCATATCATTATCAATGTTGTTTGATTTACATTTATCACAGTAACAGGAAATAAATGGTATTTTTACTCGATGATATTATTCTTATTTTAATCCTTCCAAAGATATTAGTAATGCTAGTCGTCGATGACCAGCATGATGACCAACGAGTTAACAAAGTATGGCATCTAAAGAAACGTATATTTTTCAAAAATACCTGTCTCTGCACGGTCGTCTCGGGGACGTTGCACTGTGACATGATGTAATTCATGATCTCCTTCGACGTGGAACCGTGAGCCTCTCGTAGATTTCTAATGGCATTGACCACTCTGGCTGACATTTTCGGCGCCTGTTTCCCCATTTTCCAATTGTTTCTTTCGTTTACCCGAACCAATCCTTAACGCACTGACCCTTGAGTCACTTCTGAAGGAACCTCCAGTCTCAAAACTAGTAATTTTCATTTGATCTTCACGCGGAATTTTGACAATCGCTCTATTAGTGTTCTTGGACTAGGATTTTAATATCACGAGAAAATTTGAAGAAGTTATGCCAAAATCATCGTGACCCTGAATCGATTTGCGTCTCGGAAGCGATCCAGGAATTAATTGACGATGCTGTTTATTCTGGTATCCGCGTTTCGATTTTGTCAGGAGACGCCACGCTTCTCGCTCGAAAACGATCGCATTCGCCACTAACGTCATACAATGTAAAGAAAAAATTGTCACACTTGTCAGAAAATGGCATATATATAAATTTTGTAGAAAAAGAGAACTTGTTCCGTGGTGGTTTGTGGCTGGACGAGTACGAAGATTAGTTTAACACGAGCTTATCTCGTCTATAGGATGACCGGGAAAGTGGAGCTGTTTGACGCGAGGATACAAGGATTTTCGAAGTACACCGCTGTTAAATCGAATTACACGGCTGAAATAATAAGGAAAGAGAAATGAAATCGAAAAGATAGCAGCCTGTCAAACGAACCTCTATAAGCGTAGTACGCCTTTGCTAACGTTAAACAGTCCGGAGTCTCGCTGTTCTTTGGATAATTCCTCTCTCAGCATCTCTCGATAGGTGTCTCTTTTCTGAAGATTCTTTGCTTCCATTTGAAGCATATCTTTGGACGTTTCATCGTTTTACGTTAGATTCAACCAGGAATGACGTGTCGATCAATTAATTGAAAAGTTGATTCTAGCATACATTATGGGTACAATATAACGGGAATGATAATAATTTAAAATAGTCGAGCGTATCTCGTATCTGACTCGATTGCGCTTTATCTCAAAGTGTAAGAATTCCGTTTTAGATTCGTTTTGTTCTAATGTCATGTTACTTAATCATTGCACTTCCTTTTCGTCGATTAGCGGTCGCGCTTTCTAACTATTGATCTCAAGCTTTCTTATTACAAATTTATCAACGACGCAGGAAGAGGTAAAATATAACGTCAAATGTTAATCCGAGATCTAACTATGTCAACAACGCTATCAGTTTCGTTATTGCAAGTAGGTAATTCGAAATACGAGCATATCGCTGAATACAAACGACCGTTTTACGCCTTTGAGCATCGGACATAAGTACCCAGCTCCAGGTAATTTTCACTAATCGATCGATTTTCGAACTTCTCACCCAGTTCGCGTCTCCGACGAGCACTCACTTTTGCGATCGATTAATAACAACGAGGTCCTCTTCTAAAGAGAAAGAGAGAGAGAGAGAGAGAGAGAGAGAGGCGCGAGCGGAGCGATCTTTAAGGCCTCGTCGCGGTACACGTTAGTTGTTAAATTCGGTGATCCGGATGGTAACGAAGGCAGTTTGCAGCCGGCTCGGTGCCACGCCAAATTTGCCGATTAATTTTTTTCCCCGAGCTCATTAGCCGCCCTTAATGGTGTCGGCAGCGTTAAAAAAGCCGCGATTCCGAGTCCGTGGCTGGAACGCGTGTATCCAGCTCGAGACATCTTGCCACCTCGTCCAGTAATTGGATAGTCGGGAACGCCGCGGTTTACAAGAATAACGCGGCAATTTAGCCGACCATTTAGCCTTCTACCTGACCAGAACCGATTCCCCGATTCGTTAATCAGCACCAGGTGTCGCGCGTTGCGTCGCCGCGCATTCGCCCCGGACCTGCACACCTGCATGTAGATGCTCGCGTCTATACACCAATGATTATTTATCAACGTCGCGCTTAGACAAGAGGAACGCGCCGGTGCCACGGGCTGAACGTCGCGTTTACGCTCCTTTATCGTCGTCAGCCGGAGCGCATGCTTCGGTAATCGCCGCCACTTTCGTCCCCTTTTCTTCCGATTCACCGACGTTCATCGCGCTGATTTCATCCTCGCCACCATTCCTCCTTTCTTCTCCTTTTACCTTTCTCTCTTCCTTTTTCTTTCTTGTCTTCTTTTCTTCCCTTTCTTCCACTACATAGACAGCTTCTTTTGAACGAACCCTACGAAACGGTAATTCACGCGCGGTATATTTACGAGCGACGCGGAAGGGAAATTTATACCGCGTTCCATCGCAACCATGCATCATCCAAGCGGCCAGCTAGTCAAGCGACAATCCTATTTCGACGAATAGAAACGCCAGCATTTATTGATATCTCCGCGTAGCAGGACTATTTGTTGTTACCTGGAGCCGATACCACGTTCACAGCCGCATTCCGTGACCGATAAAACCGTCATCACGGGACATTATTCCAGGCAGTCGCGAGATATTGCTTCATCGAGGCGTCATGTACCGGAGCGTCCGACAAAAACTGGATCCTCTTCGCGTGGAGAATTTTGTTGTACGGTATTATGGTACACAGTGTTCGATCTGCTCGCAAATTCTCGTGTTCCATCGGTTTTATGCCCACCGTGCACCTGTTTTCAAGACGCGAATCATGTCAATGGCGACGCTGGTGTAACAAATGTCACGCGTCAACGTAATTACCGCGCGGAATTCTCCTCTTCCACGAGAGTTCTCCGGGTCACGAGCGGCCAGAAAAGAGAATCTCGTGGCCTCGATACGATCGTAGCAAATGCCGCTGTTCGAGCGTAGCCTCTGTATGTAGAAGCCATCACCCTTCGCCGCAGGATGTCCGTTTGGATGGACACGCGGTCAACCGACCGTGACGATTGTCTACTACGCTATTTTTACACCTACGCCACTTGCACACCTCCGTGTATTCGATCGATACATTTCCATCCTAATATTTCGTGCTTCTGAAACAATTCAACGCTCAACATTTTATGACCGTTTACAGTCGATGACGATGTGCGGTGACCGCAACAAGCGGACGATTCCATTTTTTGAAATCTGTTATAAATGTGGTAAAAAGTATCGCGTAAGAATTTTAAGACGATCGTAGTTCAAGATCCGATCATACTTCGTCTTCGTACATTTAAGAAAATCATGGAAATTACACTGACCTATATATGGACAGACTGTTACGAGCGCCGTAATACATCCAATTTTCAAATACCACGTTTATTTGTTCCGTGCTTCGATAAAAGGAAACGAAGATCCTTTGCATCTGCACCTTAGCCTCTTTTCCAGCTGCTGATTGCCATTTTACAGCGACTTATTTAATTCCAGTCGTATCACAGGAATCGTACTCTCTCTCTTTCTCTTTCTTGCACCACGTACAGTATGCATCGACGTTACGTGTGTCGTAGTCAACGCGTTTTCTACTTTGCCCACGTATGCAAGTAAGTAGAGAGTGAACTGTTTCTCGGCGAACGAGTTGACGGTGCCCCCGTCGCGTATCGATGATATTCAGCCGGGAGGCTTAGCCTCTATTTAAAAGCGGATACTGGCTGTCGCGTGTACAGGGGCGACACGCGAACAGACGGCTGCTGGTCGATCGACCAATCAACGGCATTGTACCTGTGCCGCGCGATGATTGCAATTGGCTGATTAACGGCCTTTCCGATCGCCAAACGGTGGCCGGGAGTCGCGTAACCCGTAACAGAAAACTGTCCGTTTTGCATACTCGATTGCATCGAGGCGAGCC